GGTCCATTGAAACTAGCTACAATCAGTTTGATTAACATTATTGATGGGCAATGATAATCATAATCATAACAATAAGAATACTCAATGGTAACAATAATGGAAATGAGCAAACTTCATCGTTTCTACATCACTCGTTTTGTTTAAACTAAGTATTCTTCCTTTCAAAATAGTTCCATACACACACACACACATTGAAATATCATTGTGTAAATGAGAATTCAACCAGTTAGGAAATCAATCAACATTATTAAGTGTACATGACATGATTGCAATAATAGGGTAATGTGAATGACAATGGTAATAAGTATCCCCATAACGAAGAATTTTGAATAATTTTTTTCTGGTTAGCGTTTTCTTAGAGAGTTGGTTTTCTACGGGATGGAGTTGCTAACCCCATGCCCAACCCTCCTCCTTTACCCGGTCTTAGGACCGGCAGTAGCCCCCGGAGGAGCTACAGACGGAATCCTGAAGGTCAAAGGAGAAGAGGAAGAACAAATAACACATTACGACGAGAAATAGAGACAGACATGAGAAGAATGAACAAAAACTTGATAGAACTAGAATAGAAGGCCCAGGACAGAGTGGGTTGGAGAATGCTGGTCGGCGGCCTATGCTCCATTGGGAGTAACAGGCGTAAGTAAAGAAGTAAGTAATCTCCATACGAATATCATTACCACTATCATTATTATTATTACTATTACTGACAAATGTCGTTGAATATTTTTCATGTTGAGAGTCAGTTATACACGATACATCATCTCGATTATTTTTATCATCACAATTCAAGTACAATTTCATCATTTTGTATCGTCCACGAATTCTATGTGATAACGAAATCCATCTTTGAAACCAGACCTAATATTGTGCTAAGTGAAGTTGGAGATACTTGATAGGATCAATCGAAATTCTATGGGAATTCCGACTACAAACTAAATTCGCTCCACATTGCAAGCACCTACAATCACTTTTACAACAATTTTGTTCAAGCATAAAATACACGTTTGTTATGTCTCTGTAAAGTGATCAAAGATTTCATTGTAGAAGTGGTTCAAATGATACCTGAAGTGCAGAGTTATCTGATGCTTCAAGGTGTATTCGAATCCAGGTTGACCTGTTTTGCAGTGTGAAACTAATAATGGTCTATTCGCGCAACTGACACCACCATTACTACTGCTCATAGTACTACTCATCATCATATTTCGTCATGCTTCTCTAAATCATATCTGTACTTTACACTGGAAATCAATTTACTCTGATGATCTTCCTGTAATTACAGGAACACATTTATTCTCACACTGATCATTGAATGGATACAATAAAACTTGATGCAAGATATTATCTCACAAATGTCAGTCGCGTGTGTACATGCAATTAGGCATATCCAATGTATCGGTGATTTACCATTAGTAAAACAATCACATTTCATATGAATACAGTTTGCAGTTTTCTTTAAGTTGAATTCCATCGATAATCTCTATACTCTGTTCGTGTATTCTATTATATCAACTCCCCAATAAATTACACTTCCTGACATCCCATCTCATTAAAATGATTCTATGTACATTTATAGAGTAAATATCATTTACACTATCCATCTGTCAACATATTCTCACTTATTATTCACCATTATGCATATTGCTTGTGTGAGTCAATTTAATTAATCAGCAGAATGTTTTCAGAGTGGAGACAGAGAGATAAGGAGAAAGAGAGAGTGAGTGAGTGGGGGAGTAAGGGGGAATTGAAAGAGCAATGGTAATAGGAGTTGGAGAAATTAATTGAATATATGTATGTGTGTTCTATGAACAATGAAATTGTTTTATTGAACATATGGAGGGAGGTAATTGTGATCTCCTGTACTCTAGGCATCACATTCACCCATTCAGACTTCACATGATCACACGTACATGCAAATCAGTGAACACATTGCTCATTAAAGTCAAACAACTACATCTCCCAAAACCATCTACTCACACACACACTCACACGCATACACATACACCTACAAATATCAAGGAAATTGTGATCTCAAGATCAATGTGATGATCGACAGACTACTTGCTTATTTTAATTACAATATTATTGATTCGAAACCCCTCCAGGCCAAATCAGTAATTCACACGATCTACGAATAATAAGTAGAAATTGTGTAACAGATGGAAGATCATCATTCCATTATCCAACATTTATTCATTCATTTGTTTCACGCATTCATGTCTATTCGCTTTATTGAATTTCTTCTTTATGCTGTTATGATTATGATTATTATTACGAATATCATTATCACAACTATTTGTGAATATTAGTGATGACATTGTTTCTCTCTACCTCTCCAACTTCTACTTTGATCATTACTGGAAACCCCATTCATTCATTCATTCATCTCATCATCATCACCATTATCAATATTCATATCCACTCACCACTCAACACTTAACCAACTAGTAATCAGATCCGATTATATAAACTAAACCCACTACACTGGATTGTTCCATTTACTCATATTAACAAGATTTCATTTATTGTTCTGAAATAAATATTAAGAATTGTTATTTTGAAAGAAAATCATGCATGACTTCTTATGGCCACATGGTTATGTTAAATAGATTGTCTACTTTGTTTTAAACAGATATTCAGTGTTTCAGCTTAGTTAAAATAGCCAAAATGTTCTTTCCAACTGTTTCGTTCACTTCAACTGTAAAATCATATTTACAGTTAAGTTTATACATCGTATTTAATAATAAAATTAGGTAGATGTCACTTCAATGAACAAAGTTATCAATGGTTTTCAACCATTGGACATAAGTTGCGTAATATTTTTTAGGGTAATCAGAAGCACTGTTTTATAGACGTTGTTCGGCGCAGTGGGTAGAATGTTCCGCAACCAATAGAGAGTTGATTTGAACTGGTTAGTGGGCTGAGTCCTTCCACTTCAACATGGAATCAGTCGCTAGTCAATCTAGTTGACAGCACCAACGTATCCACTAGCGTCCCCTCCATCTGGCTGCAAAATCCTACCCTAGGCAACCCTGGGGTACTGTTGAATCATAGGAGAAAACTCATGAGCTAACTTGGGCGGTCGACGGATATTGGACTAATTCATTATTAAGCCGTAATCTATACTATTCGAGGACCCATACTTCAAGGTACTAAAATTGTAAAGGGTTGTCGTTTGTTCATGCTTGTATATACGGGTTGCAAGAGTCTCGGGTCATGTAGCTTGTGTATATTTGTAAACAGTTTGCCCTCTGTCAAAAAGCGAGGCCTGTCCAAATTCAAAATAGGTCTGTCCAAACCAAAAATGGGGTGTAACAAATACTAATGAAGGGGATGTTGACAATCAGATCTCTTTTAAGAGCGCTTATGCTTATATATATGCTGGGATGTGCATTAACACAAGCTTATGTACCTCTGATATGCATGTAACGTATAAATACCCGAAAGATATAGCAAATGTGAATGAAGTGAGTAATGACCATCAACCCTCCAAAAGGCAAGTATGCATATGGATTGCATGGGTGAAAACCTGTTACCGGTACATTTATAACGTATATTGGTCACAGGTGAGAGGTCCGTGCGCCAAGACACAGGGGTTCTCAACGATTTCCTCAAGAAAACACATCCACGTGGTGGGTTTATGTGCCTTGAAAACTGTCAGTCTTCTTTCCAGAAGAGCCAATGAACTTCCCCGATAAGGCTTTATCAACCTTATTGCCAACACACTGCACTTTAAAGAAAAAAAGAAAACGATAATTGTCTAATTCGTTTATATTGGTTGTTTTAATCTTGACACTGACGTTTTGGACTGCAATTAATCTGTCTCATTTGTAATATACATCATGTGGATTCCATTGCTAACCACCATCCTACTCAGATAATTATTTACTAAATGAATATTTAGGTGAGGAATAAGATAGCAGTTAGCAATACTAAACTAAAAAATTAAGGGATCGGATACATCTTTTTTGTCTATAAAAATCCAAGTGCACACATAATTCTAATTCAAACCCTCTTCTAGTCGATTATTTCGACTAAACAGCACATATAAATATTTATATGACCTCAGCAAACTGAATATTCTGTGGGTTCTCATGAAGAATGTTTGTGACTTAAAATAATATCGAGGCAATTCACACAGGAAGCACATTTGTCAATAAAAGACCGATCAATTTCAGACCTAAACATCAATGGGAAGATTTAAACAACCAATACAAAAACGAAATACTGTGCTGTTTTAAAATTTATAAACTTAATTTTTTTCGAATCTGAAACATAAACTTCAACAAAATAGGTTTTTTTATAAGTTAAATTGGGTTACTAGCCAATGGTACAGAATTTGACTAGTTATTTTAAAAATTTTGATAGTTAATATCACGGATCAACTGTGGATAAACAAAAGTTGAAAGCTAGTAAGCACTGGACAATAGTTTCATCCTAGTATCAGCTTTCTCAATGGTGTACATCCAGTGGCCGGAAGTTTGGGCGGTTGCCTCGAGCTCTAAAGTTCTTGGGTTCGATCACATAGGGTGAGTTGTGAATAATTCTCAAATTAGGACAAAACAGCTGTTGATTACTTTCTAGTTTTCAATGGTTGTCTATCCAATTTCAGATCATTAAGTAAGCTATGAAATTCAATAGTCCCTCTAAAGGTGTAATTTTAATCTTTTCATTTACAATTATTATCTAAAATAATGTCAATTACACACTTTCCATGAAATGAAACATCATCAATGGAAATATTTTACCGATCATTTTATTTCTTGTATTTTGATTGGTTAACTATTTAAAGTACGCTGATTGGTTAAAATAAATTCACGAGCGATCTGCCACGTGCTATTTATGTTATTTTGATTAGCCAATGAAATTGTGAGATTTTGGTCTATGAAAGCATTGACACGCGTCTTTTTATGTTACTGTATATTAAATTCTTCAAATATTATAAGAAAAATGTAACGGTTTGGGGGGAGGAGGGGGTTGATTAAATTATGGTATAAAAGGGGGAACTTACTCAGAAATGATCAGGTCTCTGAACTTGCTTTTTGACGCGATTGTATTTCAAATAATTCCCAGCTGATATCTGTTGTATACTGTCCACGTAATATTTTGTTTTATACATCTGATTAAAAAGAAAATGATTCCAATATCTGAAAGTCAACAACAATTTGGTAACAATAAAAGAACTTATAACAAAAGATGTGCTCAGCCACAATCCATTGAGAATATCAATCCACAAAACTGGAATAAATCAGTAAATAAATGGAATAATCAGAAGTATCGTAAACCTCTAGCTAATTTATCGAATACATATACCGGGATAGAAACTGAATGCCCTATTAAACTTGACAGACCTATTAATAAAAAATTAAAAACATGTTCTGCATCATCATCTTATGGAAATACCGATTCAATAAATATAACTCGACGTAATGAAAGAGAAAGAAATCGTGTTAAATTATTAAATATGGGTTTTGATCGTCTTCGAGCTGTAGTCCCATGTCGTTCAGGTGAACAGTTAAGTAAAATTTCAACTTTAAAAAAAGCAATATGGTATATTGAACATTTGGATAAAGTATTACATGGGCAGGAAAATTCATATTCTTCATCGTCATCATCACAAATGAATCCATCAACAGATTTTACCAATGAAAATACAACATGTATAAATAATAAGATCAAGCAAACCAACTCATTTATATCATCATCATTACCAAAATCAGCTGGACTATTTGAAATCAATCGCAACGAAGCAAGATCAGAGGCCTCCTGGTCATCTTTCGAGAAGGTTATGTCACCATATGGAAACATATCTATTCAAGAAAGAAGATCAGTAAATCAATTATACCTGTCACCGATATTTCCGACTCATTGGGATCAAAATATTAATACTAATAGTCATACTAATAATGTTAATAATAATAATAATCACCACAATGATATTAAGGAAATAACATCGACACCAATAATTAACTCAACTCCATATAACATGATTAATCCTATTGGACAAGATGAAAGACCTGTAACACATCTATTATCTAATTCTAATTCATCATTCACTGAATTTTCAAGTGATTCCGGTTATGATAGCTCTAAATCTCAACTTAAATTATTATCAAAAATTAGTAATCATTATGCCTTACCAACATGGTATAATGTTGGATATATGCCAACAACATCAGTATCATCTTTCCCAAATCCATTAGTTAGTAATTCATCTGATTCAACATCTAAAAATCAATCAGCATTAAACAGTGTTTCTCATCTTCAATGGTTATTAAATGATGATAATTATATGCCTAAACTAAATGGAACTTGAATATGAAGTCTATTTATTAATGATTAAGTTAAATAAAAGGTAAGTTATAATTTTATGTATCATGCAATATATTAATATGACTAGCAGTGGAATCTAGGACGCGCGTTTCGTCCTGTTTGGGACTCGTCAACTGGATGTACCTGCATCTCAGAGCTGATGTTCACTCTGGAACTCAAACTCAGTACCGTTCGCCCCAAACACCATCGCGTTATCCATTCGGCCACTGAGTCCTCATAGCCACTTGTTTGTGCAATGGGGTGAAGTTTAAATTCATTTAGTATTATTTGTTCGAATCTTCCCATCGAGTCCCAAATAGGACGAAGCACGCGTCCTGGATTCCACTTCTAGTCACTATCCATCTTTGCTTATAATGCTTGTGAATTAAGACTAGATCAAAGCAATACGCACAGTATGCACATATGCCAATCAGAGACTGACCAGTTTCAGTCCTAATACATCGATGGGAAGATTCGAACAAACAATACTAAATGATTATTAATATAAGTTTCCCTATTGTTCCCCTTACATATGTACTTATTAAATTGTACTTAGTTACAATATAGTTTAAATCATTTGTTTTCGAATTTTATACACATAGTTCCCTCTATCATGACAACAGTGAGAGAGAGGGGGGAGGGAGAGAACAAGTACAAAGATTTGAGTTTTCGAATTTTTATCTTCTCATATTTTTTAAAGAACTTTAATCTAACAGATTTCACACCTATTTTGATGTCTTTAAATGAAACTGTGAATTATTGTTCTCATGTTGGTCACGTGTCGACTATCTATGGTAATTTATGTGGTAAATACTAGGTTAGTAGAAAAATGAACAGTCTGATGTGATGAAAATAATTAATAATTTAATATAGGAATGGATATGGACTTATGAAAATTTATCAGTATAAGGTTTTGTAGAGATTATAGAATTCCTATGGTTCTCGAACCACGAACTGATCTAAGTTTAACGACCAACGAAAAATTGTAAGTTGTGACCAGTGGAGTTCAATCAAATGGAATATGAGACAGGTACTCATAGAAAGCAATGGAAGATTATTACAAAATATCATGGACTGATGAAATGAGTTAATTGGTCTTGATTTTAAGCATTTGTGCGCAAAGCTAAAAGGTTCTGAGTTTAGTTCCCGGATGTGAGGTCATGGATACTCACTGATGAGTAGTCGCATACTAGAACGACACAGTCTTCCATGTTTTCATTGATAGTCTGACTAACATTATCAGAATGGGGATTTGTGGGGATTGTTGCATCTTCTCAGTTGAAATCACGAGTCAATCCAAGGTAGACCACCATGGAAAACCTGGAAGCACTGGAAGACTGTTTCATCCAAATGTGGGACTTCTCAGCAGGGCGCATCCACTATCCCACCTCGCGAGATTCGGACCCAGGACTTATCAGTCCCGCGCGTGAGCACTTAACCTCTAAAACACTGAGCCCGCATTCAACGGTGTTAATGTCTCACTTCAACCAATCCACGAAATTGAGCAACCATTCACCAATATCTTCAGTTAGTTGGTATCTCCCAACAGACCTGGTTGAACTCCACTTCTGAGGAGTCCCAATATAAGACGAAACGGCCGTCCAGTACTTCCTGGTTTTCCATTGTGGTCTAGCTTCTATTGACTCATGATTTCAACTATATAAGATAATTAATGAATTCAGAAAGTTAACTGACATTAATCTTCAATAATATAAAAGTCACCATAAAAGAAAAAATGGTCATTGTATACTGATGTAAAAAAAAATCTCTTATCTATAAGCTGGTAAAATAAACTTCAATTACGTAACACCTACAAACGAATTTAAAGCAGACGGAAGATAATGCGGGTATTATTATTATCATTACTATTATTATTATTATTGAGGAGTGTAAAAGTAAGGAAAAGTCCATCTTGTCTTCTTTATATATGAAATAAAGGGAGATATTGTTGATAAACTTGATTACCATCTGTGATTTAAATCAACATTCAGTTTTTCAAATTCTGATTGACAACATTTATATACAGAAATGTAATATTTAGTATAGTTAAAACAATACTATGTAGTTAGTAATAGAATACATGATGTACTATTTGTTTTATCAATTGAATGTACTCATTGAAACTTTAATCCAAATACATTTGATTTCAAAGATTTAATATATGATCTACTATATTACTGACTTCATATATTCATTAAGCTATTCAGTGAATATGAAAATACTGATGATGATTTTGTAATTTTCCATTGTTATTATACATGATTACAATATAACTCATGTATAAGAACAATGATTGATCAATAGCAGTCATGATTATTGACAATAGGAAATTACAAATACTAACCAAAATTTGGTTAGTATTAATAAATGATTCATTATCACTATGAAAATTTGTGGAGATTTTAGTATTTTCATAATTGAATTCAATAGTCCCTATACGGATAATAATGATATGCTTATTATTTACTAGCTTTAAGACGGATTTTCTGGAGGTCCAGTGAGAAGCCGTGATCAGTAGGTTCTGATCCATGTCAGGTATGATACAGTTATCCACCTTAGACAATTGATGAAGGGTTGAAAATGATCATAGATTGATTGAAGTTAGATACTAACACTGTTGAATAACGACTTAGTGGTCTACGGTTCAAGAGTTGCTGAATTTGAGTTCGACGTTTGGGATCGTGGGTACTCACTACTGAGGAGTCCTATACTGTGACAAAACGACTGTCCAACTGTTTCAGGTTTTTAGTGTTGGCCTAGTTTTCATCGACTCATGAATTCTATTCTGAAAATCAGTCATTGTAGAATCAGATAAGCACCTCTAGAGTTTATAGCACCGATTCAATAATACAATATGAATCATTTTTTATGTATATATTACTATTCTTCTTTTCTTGTTTAAAACGTATCAATGCTTACTATCCTATTATTGTTTTTTTTTTTGTAATTTTAATACAGGTATTAGGACAAATCTAATGGGTTCACCTTACAATTGGTTGGTTAACACATTCAAAAATAATGATTAACCTTAGAAATACAACGACTCATTCAAACTAGTAACAAGATCATTGACGAATGATGATAGATCCATATTCCTAGGGATACGGACAAATGGGAACCAAATTAAAAAAAAATTAAGTTAGAAATGATTATCACCCCACCGCCCTCCTTCTTTTGTTTCTCATTATTATCAAACAGCTTGATTAATGGAGAAACATTTTAAAAAAAAACTATTCAATGAAAACTAAATTAGATTCAATCTATATTTTTTTGGATTTTATTCTTTGATAAGTTGTTCTCTTATATTTTTTCTTTCCTTCTCTTCTCCTTTTTCTTTTGTTTTATTTTAAGTTGTTCAATTAGGTGTTTGGCATTAGTTTTGGTTTTTTTTGGTTTTTTTTGCGTAAAATAATACATTGCCAAAAAATATTGATTCATCAATTATTAAGGTTGAGAATTGACAAAATAGGGGGGGGGTAAGAGGAGGGGAGGTGAAAATTTGTTTTAAAAATATAAAGATTTATTATTTAAACTTTACAATTTTTATTTGAAATAAATGAAATGATATGATATCGAATATATTGAGTTCTTATTATAATTAGTAATGAATGATTACCTACTTATTCAAGCCTGTTACCTCTCATCAAGGAGAAAAGATCACCCACCAACATTCTTCATCCAACTCTGTCCTGGATAGTCCTTTCCAGTTGGTTCTAGTTTATATTTATCCTTTTCACATCTGCTTCCAACTCCCGACGTAGTATATTCTTTGGTTTTCCTCTTTTCCATTTTCCTTCAAGATTCTAAGTTAGTACTTGTCTTGTGATGCTGTTTGGATGATTTCTGTAATGTGAGTCCTATTCACTTCAAATGCCTTTTACTACTTCCCTCGTGATTTGGAAGCTTGTTTGTTTGCTTCCACAGTAGGCTATTGTTGAGTAGTGAATGATGGAAGTTCCTATAATCACAATTGATTGATCACTGGGTGTTGATCAATTTCATGCGTGTCAAGTACTTCTTAGTGCTGATCGAATGCTATCGATCAAGTTGCAATGTGGCCACTAGTCTAGGTGACTCGACACTGCGTGCACTATATATTGAAATAAGATGGTGGTTGGAGGTGGTCAACAGGAAACCCTGGAGCCGGGTTTCGTGCTACTTGGCACTCGTCAGCAAGGTGTACCTGTAATCTTGAGGGAACTGGTGCTCCCTGACGGATTCGATCCCGTGTCACTCACCTTCGCGGTCAGAGAGGTTACCACTGAGCTTTCAGGGCCGCGACCGACCTCCTGTAGGACTGAGCTGTAATCACAATTGATTGATCAAAATATTTTTTGTATAAATCAGGAATAAGTTTTTTGGTTTAATTAAAGATGAAGCATATCCAGGTGAAGTATTCAATGAAAAATCCATCAGAAACACATATTTTTATTCACTATAAATCTTATGTTCTTCCCATCGATTAAGAATGATTTTCAAAATGACGATAAATTCAATATGAATTGATACTACTAAAAGGGATTCATTAAATTTTGGTATAATAACATCTCAATTCAAACAGTAACTAATTTCCAATTGTAAGACAGTAGAAAAATTATCAAGGGAACATTAAGTATTAAGATTATTATTCGTTAATTGACCTTGTGGTTGGCCAAGAGAAGAGCAGGCGTTGGAGATATTTTTTCTGTACACATAGCTCCGGTTTCTTCATCCTGATAGCTATTGCCTCAACTGTTTGAAGGACTTTAAGCCTGACAAACTTTGGTAAAAAATATTAGTCTTTTAATATGATGGGAATCTGTCGTCGATACATATGTACGTTTACGTCAGGTTGTTTCGTGATATCAATAAAATTAAGTCCCCACAAACCTCGATCACGATAATCATTATATGATTACTAGTGACTAGCTTGTAGAGAAAATTCCCGAAGTTCTTGTTAGAATTCGTGGCCAGTGGAGTTTGAAGGCGTTGGATCTGAGAGAGTTGCTCACAGAAGACGATGACAAATTGTCATACAATATCATAAGTTGATTGGAGTTAGGTATTTACACCAGTAGATTTCAGGTCAGTGATCTGGAGGTTAAATGCTAATGGGTCCAACCCCTTGTGGTAGGTTTGTAAATGCCCATTATTGAAGATTCTCATACTAGGACGAAATCGCTGTCTAGCACTTCCTGCTTTTCAATGGATAGCTAACTTGGGTCGGTTAGTAATATCAATCATATGTATGAGATCTTTGTTTTTGTGGAGAGACGTAGTTTCGATGATGCTATAATAATACACCATTTAAAATTTTCTTAATAAGTTAAACAAACTGTTGCAACAGGTATTTGTGAGTACTTCTGTATCATAAGAAGAGCAAGTAAAGGATTTTTGGAAGTTTTTACTTACTCTGGATAGGTATAGTCTACATGCACACTGGTTAACACATAGACTTTCATCCGAATATATCTTGGTATATATGCAACTATCCCTACCCCGTGAGCAAATATACGTAGCATGCACACCGGAACACACAGGTTTCATCCTATGCAACCCATAGCATACATATAGGCATATTCACCAACTGAGGAGGGTAGACGTTTATTACTCTCGTAGAAGCGTATTTGCTACAAAAGACTGTGTCTTACACGTTACATAAATATCGTTTAGCCCATGGCTACCAACTCAGTACTTCATGACACATACATATACTTAGGCATTCTCTCATAGGAGGTTGTTGGTAGCCTCTCCCTAGTATTAGCTACCATATCTTTTTGTTATACCTTCGACCTGACAGATTAAGCAGCTGATTTTATAACACATAGTGCAGACAATATTTCAGTTAATGTTTCCATTTTTACGTCTCCACGCACATATCCTTTGCATATACCTGTATACATGAACTACATAGGCCCGATGACTTCTGTAGTCCTTATACATAAGCATACACATAGGGTGGCCCTAAGCAATCAAGTGAGTCCTGGGTTAATCAAGGATTCAACAGAGTGGGTGGTTAGTCCTATCTCTGTCGATCGTCTAAATTGACTAGCAAGGTTGTCCTTACTATCCAGCAGCACCGTGAGTAGGCCTTAAGTCAGAGTTTGGTGCCAAGTAAAATCTAGACCTAAAATTATTTCTCAATAAAATGGAGTTCCCATATAACACCATAAATATATTGTTTGGATAGGCCATACGAGTTAAAATATCACTTTTAAATAACTTGACAGAATTTTCAACTCATCATGCAACAGTCACCTCATAATCGAAGAAAAGAGTTTATGTGTGTGTGAGAAAAAGAGAAAAATTTATGGACAGTAAAAGTAAAATTTAATTGAAAAAGCTTAAACATCATTTAATATTAGGAAATAATACATGTATGATATCAGATATGATGACCATTCCAAAAAATCCATTAACTATATACTATACTCGTCTTATAATGCTTGTGAATTAAGGCTATATCGAGGCAATACGCACAGTATGTACATATACCAATAAGAGACTGATCAATTGCAGTCCTAAAAACATCAATGGGAAGATTCAAATAAACAATACCAAGTGAATTTATATACATTGAAAAGCTGGAAGAATTAAACTGTCATTCCTGCTAGTATGGAACTCGTGAGCAGTGCGCATCCACGATCCCACATGTTGGACTCGAACTCAGGACCTTCGGTCTCACGTGTGGATTCTTAACTTGTAGACTATTAACGGTGTAAGTATCTAACTTCAATCAATCCATGATTATATTCAACCCCTCATACATTATCTCAGGTGGATAATTGTATCACATACAATATGGATTGAACTCCATTGATCACGGACTGTCATGGATGCGGACTGCTGAGGAGTCTGATACTAGGACGAGACGGTATTGCAGTTCTTTTAGGTTTTCAATGGTGCTCTATCTTAAATTGACTTATGAGTTCAACTATTAAAATTACCACAATCTCCATAGATCCCCATTCTGATAATAATACTTAATTAATACCAAACATTTAGAAGTTTTATCTAGAATCTTTGAATTTATAGTCATTAAGCATAGTTAATATGAGATGTTATTAAATGTAATTCACTCCTATAAGGTTGATATAAATGTATCCATTATTCTTTGAATAATTCTAATCAATGAACAGAATACTAGTCAATTTACCAATTTGGTTAATCTAACCAAATGGAAAATATTGAGATTAGTCTAAAATATAAAAAAAATAACATTGATACAATGTAAATTGAGTTTGCTAATTCACGTTCCCTGTTGAGTTTGTAGTCTAATTATGTTAATAAACATCATTTACAAACAATAAGACTTCAATTCACTTGGTATTGTTTGCTTGTATCTTCCTATTGATGTTTAGAAATGTAACTGATCAGTCATACATTACCATATGTGTATCTTTTACGGAATGCTTCGATATTGCTTTAATTCACAAACATTCTAAGCAATGATAGATGGTGGCTGGTAGTGAAATTTAAGATGTGTGTTTCGTCCCAATTCGAGTCCCGGAGTGATCATCAACTTCGGGATACACGTTCATTGAGCTGATGAGTACCGAATAAAATGAAACATACATCCGAAACTTCACTGCTAACCACTATCCATCTTTGCTTGAAATTTTCTAGTGTTTCAATGCATTGCTTGACTATTAAATTAGATTTTTTTCAATGCACTAACAGTATTTGCATTCAAATCGACAAAACTTGTGATTTTTATATTCGATAATCTAATGGATTTTTCACAAAAAAATGTCACGAAACAACAATTGATTATATTATCGATAACATTCGATCAGCACTAAGAAGGACTTGACACGCATGAAATTGATCACCACCCAGTGATCAATCAATTGTGATTACAGCTCAGTCCTACAGGAGGTCGGTCGCGGCCCTGAAAGCTCAGTGGTAACCTCTCTGACCGCGAAGGTGAGTGACACGGGATCGAATCCGTCAGGGAGCACCAGTTCCCTCAAGATTACAGGTACACCTTGCTGACGAGTGCCAAGTAGCACGAAACCCGGCTCCAGGGTTTCCTGTTGACCACCTCCAATCACCATCTAATTGATATTCTTTAGAATAAAAAGGAAACTTAGGTGAAAGTAGAATATGAACAATCTACTTTCAGAATCCTAGTCCTGTAATCTGTTCAATAGAATGGGATAATTCAGTTTAAGGAACATTGCCCCTAATTGTAGGAGTTTGTAATTTCCTGTTGGGCTGACATTGATCAATCTCTGTTTTTGTATTTGCATTCTGGGAGGATTGATACAATGTTATGTCACAAGTTTTAGTATATTTGATATATGACTAGCAATGGATTTTGAATTACAACAGCGGGAAATCACAAACTCTAATCAATGTCTTTATATCTGTCAAGTAACTTAATGGATATCTTAACTCAGTTAATCAACGGATGAGGGGTTGAGCGTTTGAAGGAAAAAGCGCTAATTTCGAGTCTCAATGTGGACATTGACAATAGGATGTACATATATCCAACTAAAGTGTCTCAAATAGAAAGAATAACGCATCCTGGGTCTCACTACTAATCACATATCAAATATATTAACATTTGATTCAGTTTTAATACTTATCCCTT